GGGAAGACTGTCCAGTACACTATTGATTAAAGCTAACTTGCCACCCTTGGAGAGGTATTGCATTTGCCAAGTCGCAAGCCTCTTTTCAAACTTCTCATTATTGTTGTCCTTTATATTGCATCAAATCCTAAAACACATTGAGATTAACTGCCACTTATCAGAGAAAAGATAGTCTCCAGAGACATCGTTATAATTTCATGAAGTCAAATAATTAGCTTGAACATATCTTCAGCAAGTCCCTCGTCAGTCCTCATATTAGTTATATTTGTAACAATGTCGGTACATAAGACTTATAAGCACCAGTTTGAGGAGGAGTGGTAGAGAGATGATGTACATAGTTAAAGTAGATATACTTACACTTAGTGTTATGTAAAGAGTGGATATTAAAAAGGTATCAGCACAAGACAATTGTCTTCGCGCGTCTTATCATTTTTTTCCTGTCTTTATTTCTCTCATGGTATGAGATAACCTATCTCTATCTTGGTTTACCCAATGGTTGGCCCCCATATCATATTAGCCATGCTCTAATTGACTAGGCTTGGGCAGGCATAGGTGTTAAATTTTTTTTTTTGATAAGGAGGCAGAGGTGTTAAATTATCCCATATTAGTTGAAAGAATGAACTATTGTCTCCTTATATGGTCTTAGACAATCCTCAACTCATGAGATATTTTTTTTGGTTGAGTTAGCCCTAAGGTTTATTTCTTGTCATATTCTTTAACCTTATGGCAATGCTTGTACACGGAGAAACCGGAGTGCAAGACTTACATTAGGAGAAGGAAACTATAGAAGGTGAGGAACTTAAAGGGCTGTGAGAATGCACGGGAGAAAAAAATCTTAATACTATCTAGTGGCCTTGTATATCGAATGATTAGCTTGCAAATATTTTCATCAAGTCCCTTACTGGTCCTCGTATTAGTTACATATGTAACAAGCTCGGTACATATGATTTGTATGCACCGGCTTGAGGGGGAGTGTTAGATAGTTATGCATATTCTACTCCTCCTACTACATATGGGACTAGGACATATTTTACTCCTACTACATATGGGACTAAGACTATTTACACATAACTATCTAACAATTCCCCTCAAGCTGATGCACACAAATCATATGTATCGAGCTTGTTACATATGTAACTAATACGAGGACCAGTGAAGGACTTGGTGAAAATATCTACAAGCTGGTCATTCGACATACAAGGCCACTAGACTCCGCCGAGCAACAAAACCAGGTGGTTGCTGATAAACAGAAGCTGGCCGAAAAGTTACCGGAAAAATTTGAAAATAGTGAGACTAAGCCGAATTCTACACTACAAAATAGGTTCTAAAACACCACCAGAAAACAAAACTTTTCTGGAAATTACTGTTCACACCGAAAAAACTAAAGGTTGTCAGAATTTAATGTAATTTATATGGATAGGCTCGTAACCACTGGATGAGTAAGTTGTCCCGAAGAAGTTTTCTCGAAAAGTGGCCGGAATGGCTCACACGCGCCAAAAAACTTACTGTAGTTTGCCGAAACCCTAGTTCTGGCGGTGCGTGGAGGCGCGTGACTTTCTGCCGGAGCGATTGACTGCGGTTTGTCGCCTGACTTTTCCGAACAAGATGGTAGTGTTGGTTTTCGCACAACAATTACTGATGAGGAGATAACGCAAATCAATCTTGAGTCGTCAATTGGAAAGGCGCACGGTGACTGACTTTTCTGTTTAGATAGGACTGGAATTTCTGGGGTTTAATCGCACAAGGGTTTCGGATCTGATGGTGATACTGGTATATGCACAGTACCACTGTAGCAGTGATGAACCCCGAGAACAAGACGAAGTTGCCGGAAAATTGCACGGCGATGAGATCTTTCTTCCGGATGTCGCTGAATTGATGCACTATGATAATTTTCTCACTGAAGCTCTGACACCATGTGAGAATGCACGGGAAAAAAGTGTAAAAAGACTGTCAAATGAAGATAAGGACTGGTTGGAGAGACCTTTTACTATGGAGGAGCTGGAAGAGGTTATCAGATCTTTTAAAGGAGATAAAGCCCCTGGTCCTGATGGTTTTGATTTGTTCTTCTTTCAAAAATGCTGAGGTATTTTGAAGATAGACATCTGGAGAGCAGTGGATGCTTTCTATAAAAGAAGGCTCTTTTGTCAGACTTAAACTCCACTTTCATTGCTCTAATCCCTAAAAAGAAAGGAGCAGAGGAGATTAAAGATTTCAGACCCATCAGCCTGCTGGATAGTGTATACAAAATATTTTCAAAATTAGTGGCAAAAAGACTTAAGAAGGTCATAAATAGTCTTATTTCCCCTAATCAGAATGCTTTCATCAAAGGAAGACAAATTACTGATGCTGCTTTGGTTACCAACGAGAACCTTGATAACCTGATGAAAAGGAGGAAAAAAAGGGTGGCCTGCAAGCTTGATTTAGAAAAAGCGTATGATCATGTTAATTGGCAAAGTCTGCTGAATTTGTTGAAGTTGATGAATTTTGGTGATAAATGGATTAGATTTTGTATTTCAACCGTGAAACTCTCCATATTAATCAATGGTGCTGCCCAAGGTTTTTTCAGCTCCCAAAGAGGTCTTCGGCAAGGTGATCCTCTATCACCATACCTCTTTGTTCCGGTTATGGAAATTCTTAGTACAATGTTGAGGAGAGCGGAAAGTTTAGGATGGTTAAAGGGGCTAAAGATTGGCAAGACAGATCAAGAAGGCATGATGCTTACTCATATTTTATATGCAGATGACTCTCTCCTATTCTGTGAAGCTGATAAAGTTCAAATGCTATATTTGAGAGGCGTGCTCCTGTGTTTTGAGGTTGTTACTGGACTAAAAGTTAACTTGGCTAAAAGTAGTATTTTTAGCATCAATGCTCATGAGTGTTTTGAGGATCTGGCAAATATAATGGGTTGCAGACTAGAGAAATTGCCCACTACTTACCTGGGACTTCCACTAGGGGTGAAGAGAAAGGATAAGGATACTTGGCAAGGGGTTTGATAGATGTAGCAAGAAGCTAATTCCATGGAAAAAACAATATCTGTCTTTGGGGGGGAAGGCTTGTGTTGATTAACAGTGTCCTAGATGGTATCCCGACATGCACCATGTCTTTGTTTAGCATGCCCGCAGCAGTGGAGAGAAAATTGGACTATATTAGAAGACAATTCCTATGGGAAGGAAATGCAAACAAAAGAAAAACTCATCTGGTCAAATGGAGTTTGGTCACACAAGATAAGAAGACAGGGGGGATGGGAGTAAGAAACCTGAAACTGCATAATAAAAGTTTGCTATTCAACTAGTTATGGAGATATAGTAGGGGGAGATGAAGTATGGCAAAAAATGTTGGATGCTATCTATGGGAAAAAAGAGGGTTGGAGACAAAGCTCTGCCCAATTGAAGCACTGTGGGGGAATTTGGAAGAAAATAAGTGAAGGATGGGATGAATTCTTACATCATACAAAACTGAAAGTTGGCAATGGTGCTAGAATCAAATTCTGGAGAGACATCTGGAATGGAGATGAATGCTTTAAAAATAGGTTCCCAGATTTGTTTAGCTGTGCTTTAAATAAAAATGATCACATTGCAGATTTTGACCCGACATCAGGTTGGCATATTACTTTCAGGAGAAATTTGAATGATTGGGAGTTGAATAGCTTCTGTCAATTGCTGCAACAACTGAACACCTGCTCAATCCAGCTGAATAAAGTAGATAATTTGATTTGGATCAACAGCATGGATAAACAATTTTCAGTTAATAATTGCTGCAAAATGTTAGTACAACAGAACAGCCAGGAGGACCATAATTGGCCTTGGAAGATGATATGAAAAAACAAGGCGCCTATGAAAGCAGCTTGTTTTGGTTGGTTGGCAGCTAGGGATGCCTGTCTCACTCAAAATAAATTGCAAAAGAGAGGCTATTCCTTGTGTAGTAGATGGTACTTCTGCAAAGCTGAACATGAAACTGTTGAACACTTATTCCTTCATTGCAGAATCTCAAGACAATGCTGGGAGCTCTTTCTTACTATTACGGGAGTAGCTATGGTCATACCACAGAAGATTACTGATTTGCTGGAAATATGGCAAGCTCAGAAAATGAAGAGAAACTTGAAACAGATTTGGAGGACTATTCCCATATGTATTGTGTGGACTTTATGGCTGGAAAGAAACAAGGCATGCTTTGAAGGGAAGAGGGTGCAGATTGCTAGAGTTAAAAACAAATGCATCAAGAATTTATTTTTCTGGTGCTTTAGTAAAACTCTAGATACGATGGATCATTATTTGGATTTTTTGTATTTCTTGGGGGGAAACATGTAGCATGATGGGGAATCTGTTGTAGTTTCAAAGTTTGTATAGATTTCCATACCATCTTGGTACTTTCTTTTAATAAAAGCCTTTACTTATCAAAAAAAAAAATGGGAATAGGACATATTTTACTCCTATTACATATGAGACTAGGACTTTTTGCACATAACTATCTAACAAGGGCTATATCTCAGGTTTATGAGAATATCTGCCCAACGAACCAGAGAGACGAGCCTAATCATTTTGCAGTGGCACNGGGGGTGGGGGACTATGTAGCATGATGGGGAATTTGTTGTAGTTTCAAAGTTTGTACTTATTTCCGTTCCATCTTGGTACTTTCTTTTAATAAAAGCCTTTACTTATAAAAAAAACTTATCAGAAAGTAGCTATATAGACATCATTTAATCTGATCTGTTCAATGTTCATTGGTTTTGGAGCACATTCCCTTTTGCCATTCTGAACTATTCTCTTTAAGTATATGCTTTAAAAAAAAACTAGTTCCTTTATTTTTTTTTGAGATGGTAACATATTTGTATATATTAATCAACTCAGTACATAGGTTGTACTGAAACCATATTTACAAGAAGGCAAAAGAAAAGAGAAGTTCTGCTATGCAGTCCTAGCAAAGTTCTAGAATATCTAGGATAGACATAGTGTCCTCTATGTAGCTCTGCTTACACCAAAAACAAAAAAGTAAAACACAGTTTAGCTTGATCTTCTGTATTGAGTTGCTCCTGTCCTCAAAACATCTAGAATTCCTTTCTTTCCAGATTGTCCACCAAATACATGCTGGGACAGCCCTCCATCTATCTCTGTCTCTTGCTCCACCTCCAGCTTCATCCCAGCTAAAAAGCACTTCAGTAATCTTACTAGGCATTGTCCAAGCTATACCTCTGAGATTAATAAAGATTTTCCATAGCTGATCTGTTGTCGTGCAGTGCAGTGAAGAAATAGATGGCTGATTGTCTCGGCTGTTTCCCCGCATAGAAAGCACCTTGAACACAGTGGAATCCCTCTCTTTTTGAGATTGTCTTGGGTCAAGACAACCTCCTTTGCTAGCAGCCAAGTAAAACAAGCTACCTTATATGAAACTTTTACTTTCCAAATATGCTTCCAAGGCCAATTAGTTAATTGCTGATTTGAATGGTTTAAGAGCTTATAGGCTGAACTTACCTTATACATACCTTTGTTGTGTCCCTGCCACCATAGTGTATCCACCCCACTCTGTAACCCTTTAAAGTCTTCCAATTGTTTGTAAAACTTAGTTAACCTATCCACCTCCCAATCATTTAACATCCTCCTAAATATAAGATCCCAACCTTGGGGGGTCCATACTTCAGCTATTGTTCTATGCTGATGTTGAACCAAACCATATATATCAGGGAAGAGTTCCTTTAAACAACCAACTCCCAACCAGTTATCTTTCCAAAAGGAGGTTTTGTTGCCATTATTTACTCTGATGGAAGAATGACTCTTCATCACAGGCCAAAGTGACCTAATGGACTTCCATAAACTAACTCCATATGCTGTATTAACTACCTTTGATACCCACTTGTCTTCCTCACCATATTTAGCTTTGATTACCTTGCTCCATAAGGTTTCAATTTCCTGTGAGTACCTCCATAACCATTTCATCTTTAGGGCCTTGTTTTGGTTCTTCAGGTTCCTAATGCCTAAACCACCATGAGCTTTGCCAATTGTTAGAGATTTCCACTTAACCAAATGAACAACCCTTTTTTCTTTGTTTCCTTGCCAAAGAAAGGATCTTCTAAGTCTATCAAGTCTCTGAGTAACCCCTGCAGGAATGGGAAAGAGGGACATCATGTATGTTGGAAGAGAATCTAAGACTGAGTTGATCAAGGTGAGTCTACCACCCAAAGACAAATATTGGGATTTCCATCTAGCCAGCTTCTTTTCACATTTTTCAATAACAGAATTCCAAATCAGCTTAGATTTAGACTTTGCTCCCAAGGGCATACCAAGGTAAATAGTAGGTAGGCTTCCTACTTCTCCACCCAAGATCAGTGCCAGATGCTCCATTTCAGGAACTTCATTGACGGGGAACAAGTGGCTTTTTCTCCAATTGATGTGCAGTCCTGAAATGCCTTCAAATAGTACCAAGATAATTCTCAAGAACCTCAGTTGCTCCTCTTTTGCATCACAAAAAATTAAAGTGTCATCAGCATACTGGAGATGTGTAACCTCCAGACTATTGTTTCCATTTTTGGCTACCTCAAAACCTTTGATCCAACCCTGACTTCTTGCTGTCTTAACCATATTGTTAAGACCTTCCATTGCTAATATGAATAGAAAAGGAGACAGAGGGTCTCCTTGTCTTAAACCTCTGTGTGCAGGAAAGAATCCTTCGGGAGATCCATTAATAAGAATAGAGAATCTAACAATGGAGATGCAATGTTTTATCCATTTGATCCATTTCTCCCCAAAACCCATTTTGTCTTACATTATACAACAAGAAGTTCCAGTTGACATGATCATAAGCCTTCTCTATGTCTAGTTTACAAAGAATTCCTGGCTTCTTCTGTTTGATTCTAGAGTCCACAGCTTCATTAGCTATTAGAACAGCATCCATTATTTGTCTTCCTTTAATGAAGGCCATTTGTTGTGAGTCCACCAATTTATCTATCACCTTTTTGAGTGTCTCTGTCAAAACCTTTGAGAACAACTTATAAACACTGCCTATCAAGCTTATAGGCTTGAAATCTCTCAGTTCTTTAGCTCCTGTCTTCTTAGGGATCAAAGCAATGTATGTAACATTGAAACTGTTTTCAAAAATTCCATGGGAATGGAAATTCCGGAAAGTAGCCATAATGTCCTGCTTCAAAACATCCCAGCACTTTACAAAGAAGCCCATTGTGTAGCCATCAGGTCCAGGAGCTTTATCCACTGCACATATCTTCAGACAATCTAAAACCTCTTGTTCCTCAAAACTTCCTTGTAAAAACTCCTTTTCTTCCTCAGATATTACTGGACAGTTATCAAAATTGCTCGCTGGTCTCCACCCTTTAGCCTCTGTATACAATCTTTTATAAAAATCAATAATCTCACTCTTGATTCTATCTGGCTCTTCTATTGTTTCACCATGGGTCACTAACTGGTCTATGTTGTTGCTTCTCTTGTGAGCATTAGCAGTTATATGGAAGAACTTTGTATTTCTATCCCCTTCCTTAAGCCAAAGGGCCCTTGATCTTTGCCTCCATGCAATTTCTTCATTTTTTATGTGTTCTTTGTACTCCATAAGGAGAGATGTCTTCTTGACTGATTCATCCTCCGTCAAGGCTCTAATATCCTGAATTGAATCGAAAGCTGCTAGTTGACTTAGCAGATTGGTCTTTTGCAAGGCCAAATTACCCTGGCTACTTCTGCTCCATTCCTTAAGCTTGCCTTTAAGAGCTTTAAGTTTACATGCTAAGATGTAGTCTGGTTTCCCTGGGAACTCGAAAGAGGACCACCATTCTCTGATCATGTCAACAAAACCTTCAGTACTTAGCCACCAATTATCAAATTTGAAATAGGATTTGGTTTGCTGCCAGGAACCACATTGTAAAGATACAGGTACATGATCAGATTCCAATCTTTGAAGAAGGGTTTGCTTGATGTTTCTGAAACTAGCATCCCATTCTCCCGATAGCAATATTCTATCAATTCTAGAAGCAGGGACTTGGTTATCCCCTTTAAACCAAGTAAAAGAACCCCCTTCCAGTTGAAGATCAATCAATTCCATATCTTCAATAAAGTTTGGAAACTCCAACATAGCTCTAGTTCTCCTATTGCAATTTCTTTTTTCAGAAGCATACCTGGTGACAATTAAAGTCACCACAAACAGCCCATGGTCCTTCCATCAATCCTCTAACACCACCTATTTCCCTCCAAACTGCTCTCCTTTCAATGTAGCAATTAGGAGCATATACCCCTGTTATGTGGCACTCAAAATTTTGCAAAAGTGCCTCAAATCTGCATGTCACAGTATAAGCTCCAATTTGCAGCACCTCCCCCTTCCAAACTCTACTATCCCAAAGCATCAAAATACCCCCCTAGTACCACTAGCTTCCAAACATGCAAACCTCACCCATCTCCCTCCCCAAATCTGATTAACTCCTTTATCTCCCCCTCCAGTTTTGTTTCCTGGCAACAGAGGATATCTGCATTCCAGTCTATTACTAGACTCTTTACAATTCTTCTTTTTTCCAAATCATTCAAACCCCTTACATTCCATGAAATTAATTTGAACTTCATAATTCAATTGAAAGTACACCTTTCCCCCTGTTTCTTTTCCCATTACTCTTAAAGTTCAAATTAAAGGAAGATAATCCTTTCAATTCCTGAATACCTCTAAATCTAGGTTTTCTGCTTTCTGAGTCTGCCTCCATCATTCTAGCTTGTCTGCAACTATCAATTTGCTTTAACAGTTCCAAAGCTTATTCTTCATGCCCCAAAAAATCAACCCCAAATATGTTCCCCAGTTTGATCAAATTTTGATGCACCCAAATAGTCGCATCCATCTCTTTCTCAAGAAGTAAATCCTGGCGTTGAAGGGGTTCAACATCTTCTACTTCCCAGTCATTAAAATCAGTGCCTGCATTGCATGTTGTCGAAGTTTGTTGTTGCATGAGATCGTTGTTAACTAGAGAATCCCCCAGATTGATTACAGACAAAGAATTTTCTTCTTTTTCTCCCTGCATGTCTGCACCTTCTCGCTCTACTGACTCCTCACACGACCTTGACACCTCTACGTGTGTCAATTTTTCCTTGGCTGCACCTGTTTCGAGCAAGCAACATGGGATAATTTGACTATATTCTTGTTCTGCCAAAACCGTAGCTTCCAGCCCTTCTAACAAAGGGTCAAACCTTATATCTTTGGTGGGCCTACCACTTAAGTCATTAAAAATGACTTGGGCAGCTATATCCGGTCCAGGAGTCTTTTTAAAACATGTGTCTGCTTGGGGCCCAGTAGGAAGGCCCAATATTGAAATTAAATCTGCAGACTCCCCCACCTCCATCTGATTAACTAACAGTTGACACATCACTCAAGCATTCCACGTGATTAACACCCATCTCCTGTGCAGCTATAACATTGCCCTGACCTACCTCTGTCATATAGGTGGATATTGTCCAGCGGTCCTTCAGAAGCTTCTGGCCTTCCCCTTCTCTGGAACCTTCATCTGCACCTGCTCTTTCTATGGAAACCGATGATCCCAGTTCATATCGTGTTTGTACCAAAATTGGGATGAGAAATTTGATGCCATCCCTCTCAATCGCTACCTCAGTAGGGCAATTTCGACCATCTCCGGTTACTTCTATTCTAGCCCACTTGAGATGATTTTTGAGATTTGTTTCTTCCTCTGTAGCAATCCATCCTCCACAGAGATCTCCGATTTCTTTGAATATCTTCTGCGACCAAAGATGAAGAGGGACCCCCAGTGCTCTAACCCAGCTAGTTTTGACAGAGAAAGAATTGGAGATACAACCAGCTATTGGGTTCCACCATTCAAGATAAAACTTGAATTTGTTCCATCTCCATTCACTTTGGAGAATCTGCTCTGCCATGCATCTATTAGGAAACACGAAAAGAAACATGTTTCCGGTCATCTCGTACATATTCACCCCGAACACTGCTTTCCAAGTAACAGAGGCCCATCTCCTAATGTCTGATAGAGTGGGTCTCTCAGTTGCTTCTTCCCCAAAGTACCCAAGTATACATCTTTGTAGCAAACCAGTGTTCTTCAACCCAGGTGGCTCCGAAATGACAATGGCACCTTTATTGGTGCTGACAGTTGATTCACGGAGGATATTCGATTGCCATCTGCTCTCACGTACAGCTTTGGTATAGGGATAGTTCGCTTCAGTAAATCTAGGGGGCTCTGTACTGTTCAACATTGAAGAGCCTTTAATGAACCTTTCAATCTTAAAAGCGATGTCCTTCCATCCCGCATTCAATGCTATTTCCGGGATTATAATAACCGATCTCCCATCTCCCATTAATGACAGAATACTCATATATCTTCCATGGACATTGTACTTCCTAGTACAAAAATATTCTGTTAGTTGGTCTTTGGTTTTCCATCTCCTAACCAGATTTTTTTGATCCTTTGAGGCTTCTTTGAGAACGAAGCAAATCCACTCCATAGCTTTTTTACTTATTGTTGAACGTCTCATCATGTTACGGCTTCTCTCCACCCAATCATACCATGTGTCCTTTTACGAGGTCCACCTGGTGATGTCAAAGGATTTGAAACCTGCGTTGAAATAAATTCTGTTATCTCCCATGGAAGTGATGTTAGAGCGACCAGCTTAAAAGAACAGAAAAGGAAGGTGATTTTTCAGTGATCACAGTGGGTGAAGACGGGGGTGACGGAAAGTAGGTGTATTCCGGTGAAGGTTATGCCGGAAAAGGTAGTTCAGGCATTCTAGGAAGTAGGAAAGAGAAAGGTCTCGGGAAGAGTGCCTGGGAGTGTTTCACTGAAAAAAAACTAGTTCCTTTATGTATAGAAGATTGGCTATCTTTCGTTGAAAACCAAATCGTTTGTAGGTTTTCTACTTTATACTGGCACTTTTTGCCCCTACATTATAAAAAACCTATTGGGTTTGATACACTTCATTCTCTCACTATCTTTTTGGGTAAACCACCTTATCCTCCTTATCAAAGAAAATAGAGATGACTATATTTTCATTTTATTTTCTGCATTATGCAGCTTGCAGCGACGAATCAATCCTCTTGAGCTTGACAATGAGGCACTTGCTTTTAAGCCTGTTTTGGGTCCCATGCTTGCAAGAATATACCACAACCCTCAAAACAAGGAAGAAAATCAATCTCGGCTACAAAAAATTTTGCAGTTTTGGGGTACAAAGGAAGTTTACGATCAGGATACTATCCGTGCACTTGAAAATGAGATGATAGGTGGGCAGCCTGCAAATTTTTCTGCTCCTCCAAGGGAATTAATCATGGCAGATCTTTCTGCTGGAGCAGGTAATTGTTTTGCTAGTCTAGCTGCAATCAGGGAATATCAGAAATTTCATAAACAACATTCTGCATCGTTAGTTGCAAATGTGAATATATACCCTCATTTGTATTTCTTACAATTGTTTTACTGGTTTCCTAGGATTAATGGCAGCAAACCAGGGTACTTTACAGTGGAAGCCTGACCAGCAAAGTTTCGCAAATTTAGCTGATCAAGGCAAACAAGTTCCTCCTATACCATCTGTAGCACCACAGCAATTTCATCCTGGTGCAGTTCCGCCTACTGGATTTCCCGGGTCAATGCCTGTACCATCTTCTGTTCCACCAGCAAACCTACAACCTGCAGCTCATCTGACACCAGCATCAACTGCAAATGTAGGTGCAAAACTACCTCCGTACCCCTTGTTCCCTCCTGGTCTTATTCCTGGTATGGTCAGGAAGATGCAGATTGGTAGTGGGGTGCCTTACTCTCCCATGAGCCCCTTGGATATCCCCACCATTGTACCTCCGTCCACTGTATCAGAATCTGAAATTCTTGAAAGAGTGTCTAAATTTTTTAAAGAGATTGGAGAAGTTAATCCATCAGAAGGACCTGTTAAACAATCTGATTCAGCCAATGATTATGATGACTATGAGAGAGAGCCTCCTGTTCGCAAAGGAGGGGCTTGTATTCCTCCACCTCCTAACCTTCAAGTCGACCCTGAAACCGGGACTTATGCTGATGGAAGTGTGGTGCAGAAACCTGGATCGAATAGCTCAGGGCGATTAGGACTTGGAGCCACAGCTGATCCAAACGAGCGTAGTCAATATGATGATGTTTACACTTCTTACAGGAAAGAGAGAAGCACCAATTATCATTCATCAATGAGCGTAAGAACTGCTGCGAGGTAATTGAGTCGATAATGTTGACTATTCCTGGAAGGAGTTTAAAGCTTTCATGGCAAAAATTTTGCCCTTTGAGCTACAGTTGAGTGGACAGAAGTTGTGTGTCTTTTAAGTTGTAAATTATGATGAATATTGATCCGACACTGCAACATGTAACGAAACGAGCTAGCTCTACGCCTCTACCCCTATCTTTCTTCACTGAGCAGCTAGTTAGCTGTGTTATTTGATCTTTCATATGTTTTTCTTCCATTTCGTCCTATTTTTCTGGGAATGACGATGCTACCGATATTTTTGGCAGAGATGTTTTACTGGGATGTTTGTCATACCTGTGTATTATTTGTTCCATGTTTGGCTAATTTCATGTTAAAATGCGATGGCTAGTAGTACGGAATAGGTTATAGAGGACACAAACTGAGAAGCAGATGGGGGCTGTGGTAATCAGTCCAGGATGTTGGGCGTTTAATTTTATGAGAGGCCACTCTGTCAAGTAAAAGAAATTTAAAGATGATGTGACTTTTTAGTATTTTTATTTTCAGGTTAATTAAATTGTCTTGAACCTTAAAATCTTTCTCATAATCTGAAAAGGTCTGTTACGTAAATTAAGTATACTAGTCTTATGATACGCGCTTTGTGCGTGTACAGTATCTCAATAAGAAAGAACTTTGAATAATATATATAAATAATATATCAAAATATTATGTTTGAGTGATAAAATAAAAGTTAATTTTTTCACAAATGATGAATCTTCATATAAGTTTTCAATCATCACTCAATATATTCAATAAAAAGTTTATTTCAATTTTTAATTCAATTGCTTTAAATTCATAAGTTATCATGTTTCTTTTCAATTTCACATATAATCCTTCAAAAATTAAGATTTTTTTGATTTTTTTATTTTAAAAAAGCTATTTGCTTCTTCATTTTAGAACACTCAAACAGAATTAACAAATTGATGGAAAATAATATATTTTTTTCAAGAATAAAAGGCAATTTATTTATTTTTTAATTAATAATAAATATTATATGAATTATTTTCAACAGATTAGAAAAAGAATAAATTATTGTAACTCATTGTATAATCAAATACATAAATTATACGAAGAAAAGGAGTTCTGAAAAGGAAAAGAAAAAGAAAATAAACAATATTAAACCTGAAACTTTTTAACAAAAAAAAGAGCTCGTCAAGGACTCTTAAACAAAAAATTTTACAACAAAAAGACAATTATATGATTTTCCATATCAAAGTCCTAAATATTACGCTATTAATTAAATGATTGTCCCTAAATATTAGAAAAATAATTAATCACTATTCCTATATATTAGAAAAATAACTAAAATTACTATTCTGTCCAATATAAAATATATTCTTAAAGGGTAAAAAAGGTGAACGACATTTCGCTAAGGGCCTTATAGAAGATATAGATTATCAGATGAATTTTGTTGAAATTAAAAAGAAAAGGTAGAGAAGAGAAAGAAAAAGGAACAAGAAATGAGAAACTGGTATGAATATTAATCTCTTGCTGAATATATAACAGTGACCTTCTCAAATTTACTACCATCTATCTGTATATATATAAAAGAGGGAATTAGACAAGCTGACTTGACACTCTTTAAAGCCAAGAAACCTATTTATCTTTTTTCTCCTTGTTTTTTGGTCTTTTCTCCTATTTTTCCTACTACTCTTCCTTTTCCAGCCATTTGAAGAAATTAGTTTTGTTCAATTAATATGATAACTGAAATGTAACGACCCGATCGGTCGTTTTGAGCTCTAGCGCGTCATTCAGCGGTTTGAGGCCTTGAGTAGCTTCATTTCAGGTATTATGACTTGTACGCATGGTCGGAATTGAATTCCGGAAAGTTCGGAGTTGATTTGGAGAGAGAATTCTCACTTCGGAAGCTTTAAGTTGAAAGAATTGACTAAGATTGAATTTTTGAGTAAACCACCTCGGAATCTGGATTCGAAGGTTCCAGCAGGTTCCTATGATGATTTCGGACTTGGGCGTATGTCCGGATCGGATTTTGGAAGACCCGGGAACGTTTCAGCATCTATTGTGGAAGTTAACATTTTTGGAAGAATTTCATAAGTTTGGGTTGAAGTGCATTTCAGTGTTATCGATGTCCGTTTGGGATTTCGAGTCTGGAAATAGCTTTGTATGGTGATTCTGGTGTTGGGAGCGCAATCGGAAGTGAATTCAGAGGTCCGTGGGTCATTTTGGAGTCATTTGGCTAAAGTTGGAAATTTGAAGGTTTTTGAGAAGTTTGACCGGAAGTGGACATTTTGATACCGGGGTCGGATTCCGATTTCGGAAGTTGGAGTAGGTCCGTAATGTCGAATATGACTTGTGTGCAAAATTTGAGGTCAATCGGACGTGATTTGATAGGTTTAAACATCGAAAGTAGAAGTTTAAAATATTAAAGTTTATTAAGCTTGAATTGGAGTGGGATTCATGATTTTAGCATTGTTTGACGTGATTCGAGGCTTTGAGAAGGTCCGTGCTATGTTATGGGACTGAGTTGTGTGATTGGACGGGGTCCCGGAGGCCTCGGGTGTGTTTCGGTTGTATTGCGCTCTTATTTGATGGTTCAACGTCGCTTCTTTGGGAATAAAGGGCACCACATTAAGCAAATGAGCTCCAAATTCAGTCTTTATTGAACCATTAGATCCGTATCGTAATTACGGAGCCATAACAAAAAGAATCATCGAATTTGGACATCGTATGAGGAAGTTATGCTCATTTTTGTGTCGGGAAAAAACTGCTGGTTCTGGTGTGGTCGCAATTGCGAACATTTCCATCGCAATTGTGATGCCCAGTTCGCAATTGCGAACTTTTTGTCGCAAATGCGACCTTTTCCAGCCCTTCCTTGCTCGCAATTGCGAAGGCTTTCTTCGCTTTTGCGAGGGTTCGCAATTCGCAAATGCGACATCTACAGCTTGTTTTCAGATGTGTAACTCGGGGTTTTGCTTCATTTGATCATATTTTGAACCCTAGGTCCGAGAGTAGGCGATTTTGAGAGAGGATTTTCATATAAAATCATTGGGTAAGTGCCTCTAACCAATTTTCAATTATATTTTGTGATTATACCTTAGATTTAACATCGAAATTCATGAAAATCTAAAGGAAAATTTGGGGTTTTAAAGAAAAAACTAGAAATTGAGATTTTTGGATTTTGACCACGATTTTGGGCATGGAATTAAGAATAAATTATATATTTGTGTTCATGAGGTCATGGGTAAACTTTATCTTCAAAAAATTTCGGAATCCGGGCACGTGGGCCCGAGGGCAATTTTATCAACTTTTCGATCGGGGTTAGGAATTGTTATAAATTGGACTATAATGAGTAATTGAACATATATTAATGGGTTTACATATTTATTGGCTAATTTTGGAGTATTTTGCATCGATTTGAGTCTTCGAAAGGGCGTGGAATGCCGGTTATGGAACTTCGGAGCGAAGTGAGTCTCCTTTCTAACCTTGTAAGAGGGAATTGTCCCCATAGGTGAATTAATTGGATATATGTTGCTATTTGTGGGGGCTACGTACGTACGAGGTGATGAGTCCGTGCGTAGCTACTATTATGCTTCTGTCCGGGTAGTTTAGGACCCAAAAGCATGCTTTACTTGTAATAATTATAACCTTATTGATAGTTTAAAATGCTTAAATCATACCGAAGTGGCAAATGACTTTCTAAAAGAGTTAAACTTCATTTTCTTGACCTGTAAAAGAGGAATTTACACCTCCTTGAATATTTGTTTCCTTGATGAAGTCTTGATTGACTGTTTGAATGTGTGTTTCTATGTGTACCTGCGTCACATATATGATTCGTGAGCAGGGTGATTGTTTATTTATATTTGACCGCGTCGCATGTATGATTCGCGAGCGGGTAATAGATGCATCTATGGTTCGCGCCATTCGACCCTCTGGTAGTGCACATTTTAAATATTGTTATATCGGGCCGTACGACCTCGCCATGATTTGCGCATGCTTGTATTGCTTGCCTTGAAATTTATTGAAGTTGATATTGTTTCTCCCTGGCTTGAGAATAAATGTATAAACGATGAAAAGGAATTTGGGAATTTTCTATAAAAGAAAGAATTGTTTACTTGCTTCATTCTATTGAATTACAACCCTGCTTATAAAATCCTTGATTTATTACATTATTGGTGTATCATTATTGGACCACTAGTGAGAGTCGAAGTTGACCTCTCGTCTCTACTTCTTCGAGATTAGACGAGATACTTACTGAGTACACGCTGTTTTCGTACTCATGCTACACGTGCTGTGCATTTTTGTTGCACATGCACATATACGTCTAGCGACCCAATGGGCGTAGCAGCATCGATGATACGAAGACTTAGGTTAGCTGCATCTCTCGAGGCGACCCGCAGCCGGCATAGTCTCTTTCAGTGCATAGTATTTACCTTCTGTCCAAGTTGTATTCCGGACAGTTATTGTACTCCATTTGATTTTCCTAGAATTAGCTCATGCACTTGTGACACCGGGTTCTGGGATGTCTATGGGATTATTCAGTATTTTGAAATTGTTAAAGATATCATTATTTATTCAGTAAAATTTATTCTTTATTCTTTAAATGTATAAAAGAAGTGAATTCAGAAATATCTAAAACGAGAAGTTACTAGTTATTTAGTGTTGGCTTGCCTGACAATAGTATCCGACGCCATCACGATCCCTAGTGGATTTTGGGTCGTGACATGAAAAAACTTCACCACTTAATCATATGGAAGTAGAAATGATACATCACCTTAAATATCTTCTGTAACCGACACTATATTAATCCTTCACGCCCGTTTTTGCTATTTATTTTTGATAATTTAATTACTTCTCCATTAAACTCCCATTACTCTCTCAAATGTAGCCTATAAAGAGGAACACTATTTGGTGAAGCAAAATGGCTCTACGTATAGACTTGTATTTCCATCCATTTGTGCAGGTTTTTCCCATATTGGTTGGCATTGTTTTGTAGGTACAAATTACCTCTTGCCGGTACTTGCCTTGTATTTGAAACCAAGATTCTATCATGGAAGTTGCTTTGGTAAAAGCGGGCAGATCTAACCACGTACTTTCTATTTTATCCTTTCATATCAATGATGCAATATTAGTACCATACATAACATGTCGTAGTGAAGTTATTGAGAATAAGGCAGTAGAAAAGGATCGTACAGTTAAGATTGTTGTAGTGTCATTTTTTTTTGGTTGATAAAATTATAACTTTTCTTCTTTAATAACTATTCTCATTGTCTTCATCTCAACAACTTATTTTTTTTTATTTTTTTTTCCATTTCATGCAACAGTTCCATCTTTTT